ACTGGTGCTGTTTACAGAAATCAGAAAGTAAACAAACTAAAAAGCTCTCAGCTGAAGTTCTATTAACCATTTCCATGTATTAAAGACTGTAAGTATTGAACAAACATATACTTTATTCTGACTATATGTGTTCTTAAAACTGGTTGCACTCCAGAACTAAAGCCTGGGCCGAATTTCATGAGGTTGCTAAACACAACTACAGTCCAACTCATAGACTCCAAAAGTAGTAAGCGCACACAAGAGCTTGCTGATTTCAGCGGCAGAATTTGCTGAAATTCGTAACGTAAAATCTCCATGCACCCATATGCATTAGCATATGACTGTGAAATTACGCTTAAGCCAGGGAAGTTTCTCTGCTGACAGTTGGCACAGCTTTTTTGCAACCCTATGAAATTGAGCTCTCATTTCTAATGTTCTGGAACTGAAAGGAAAATTAGAACTATTTTGAATGCTTTTTTTTTCTTATCAGGAAGGTGTTAATTTACACAGACTGAAAGAGGACAAAGAGGCAAGACATAAGATTGAGTATGGACAATTTTTGTTTCTTCAGTAATATTTTCCTTCATGTGCTTTTGCAAAAGAATTTTCATGTTATTTCAGTGGTTATTTATTTATTTTTATTTATCGAGGGTAAATTATTCATCATGATATCGTCCCATAGGGCCCTGACGTAAACATAAAAACACTTGAATCTAATGAACAGTACAAAACAAAGGGAATTACTGCATATAGAAGTAAAACAAAAGAAAGCAATCATACAATTAAAAACTAACAATTAAAAAGATATATATTGAAAACCAAACAGGGAATTCTACAGAAGGTAAATACGTAAAACCTATAAACTTATTCATTGCTCCAAATAAAGTGATCATGATATTTGGATGATTCAGAAAAAGTTGCCCATTGTGTTGCTAGTTAAGGGTGCAAGCACTATTGCAGTACCGTGTTGCAGTGTCAATATAACAGACACATGCTTACATGTACTTGTATTTCAGTTGGCCACACTGCTGGAAGCTGTACGGAAGGAAATAATTGGCAGACTGACATGCACTTGTGCATCTAGTAGTTTCTGTAATAGTGCTTTAGCATCTATGTTTTGTTGTAATTTTTGACAGATATGAGGAAGATTACTTTGTCCGTCTCCCTGTAACCAGGAAGGAGAAGGTATGAGTTCTCCTTTTGAGTATTAAAAACCTGTCACATTGTTTGCTATCATAGCCCAGCTATCATGTTTGGATTTTGATGATTTGCAGACTGGACCATGACATTAACCACTTGCCGCTGGGGTGCCGGTACCGGTCACGTTGGCTTTATACGCATAGCTGGGGTGCCTTGTAACAATAAACCGTACTCGAAACCGAACAAAAGACTGGCTTGCTGGGAATTGCCAACGTTTTTCAGTTGTCAATAGCAGAGGTAATCCGTCACTGTTTGAAACAGTATACCACTGTTGGTGGTATTCGGTGCGAGCGGATTACGACTGGGGACAAAACGCTCCAGGGATGAGCGATACAATACCGCTGCACGCTTATCTGGCTGCATTTGAAAAGACGCCAGCAGCGTACTGGGCCAGTTTCAAGAAAAATTAAAGAAAATTACGCAACACCAGACAATTTGGGCTAAGGCGGTAGGCTTGGCTGAAATACCCGGGTATCAATGGAGGTTGCCTGTCAGATTAGAGTAGCAACCAGACAGTCATTTGTGTAGGTGTAAGCATCCAGTAAATAAAGATATGAATTTTTAAAGAACTTTGAAAACAGAAAAAAATGAAAAATTGCCCGGCCCAGCAAAATAAACATAAATAAATAAATGGGCCTGCACCAAATGATACAATGCCTGAATATATCCCCATCTTTTGATGTGTGGATTGCAGATCATGTGACATAAAGTATTCAAATTAATTCATGATGCAAGTGCATCACAAACACAGTACAACTATAACCATTCAGGGGTTAATGCATTGTATTAGGTAACAAATATGCACATTTGAGAGCATCTCAAAAGTCGGGAACATTTCCGTTTGGAATGCTGGAAGTGGAATGTTTTGTGAATACATTTCTGACTTTGAGACAGATTTGTATCATAAATGGCATGTTATTGTTTTACTTAATGACTTCTGTTTGCAGCTGTAAATTTATTACGCCATGATGTACACAGAAATAGACAAAAAACCCTTTGTTTCAAGTGTTGGATTTGAACAAGTTGATTACTTTTGCGTTGTGCATTATTGGTCTTGTCAATCCCCTCTCAAAAAAATCCTTCAACACTTATTCTGTCCCTCAATTTATGACATTTTCCTGAACAAGGTACTGAAAGTATTGAAGGTCTTTGATCTCATGTACGTGTACTTCTCAGACTAAAGCCTGTCAATGTGCTGTACTACTCAGACTAAGGCCTGTAAATGTGCTGTACTACTCAGACTAAGGCCTGTAAATGTGCTGTAC